AAACTATAACAGACTTTTGTCAAGGCTCTAACTTTCAAGAAGCTCCATGGAGGTAGGAAGTCACTTGGTGCCAGGCACCGGTGGCTCACGTCTGCCATCCTAGCTACTCAGGAGGCTGAGATCTGAGGATCGAGGTTCAAAGCCAGCCCGGGCAGGAACATCCGTGACACCCTTATCTCCAATAAACCACTGGAAAACCTGAAGTGGCGCTGTGGCTCAAGCAGTAGAGCGCTTGCCTTGAGCTGAAGAGCACAGGGACAGCGCCCAGGCCCAGAGTTCAAGCCCCACGACCCACAAAAAAAAAAAAAAAAAGTCCAGAAGCAGCGCTGTAGCTCAAATGGTAGAGTGCTAGCCTTGAGCTGAATTGCTCAGGGACAGTGCCCAGGCCCAGAGTTCAAGCCCCAAGACTGCCAAAAAAAAAAAAAAAAAAAGTCCTTTGGTGCCCACAGTATAAAGGGAAACAACGCTGTGTGCTGGAGTAGAGATGGTCCCTGGGCTCCAGAACAAACACTCAGCACTCTGCTGTGGGGCTGACACGGACTCACTACCCTAGGGCCACAACACAGAGCCAGATCCACCAGCAGTGCTGAGTAGAAACCCTTCCCAGGACACTTGTGTCCCCTTCTGCCAGCTTTTTTATTTTTTTATTTTTTGCCAATTGTGGGACTTGAACTCAGGGTCTGGGCACTGTCCTGAGCTTCTTTTGCTCAAGGCTAGCACTCTACCACTTGAACCACAGCACCACTTCCGGCTTTTTCTGTGTATGTGGTACTGAGGAATCGAACCCAGGGCTTCATGCATGTGACTCTGCCAGCTCTAGAATGAGGAATCCATGATGGATTTGCTCTAGCGTAGCCCTCTGGATACCCAGGTGGGAGCTTCACACAAAGTGTCCTGTCTCAGAGTAGATCGTATCCCTGAAAGTACTGCTGCTGTATAAGCCAATTCCCTGGAGGAAGGTTTCCAAGCCTACAGAGATCTGAAGCCTTGGTGCACATCAGGATCTCCAGACAGGAGAGGTTCCCACAGACGTTGGGCCTTTGGTCACAAGCATCACGTTGCCAGTGCTTTACATTCCTGTGCTAATTCAGTAACATAAAGGCAGTTTGGATGACTCACATGTTTGTGAAATTGTGGACAGTGAAGTTACTCACACACCTAGACAAGCTAGACAAGGCTTTAAGGCAGATAAATAACCCAGCTATGATCAGGAAAGTCTGGGCCATTCAAGCAATGGGGCCCTCACTATGTGGGGACCTCCCTGTATGTGGTAAGTCCTACAGGTTGTGGCTGAAAACAAAAAACTGGAAACACATATGCTGAGGGATTTATTAACGAGAAAGAGAAATATTCAACGGATCTTTATAAGAGAACAAGCTGAGTGCTGATGGTTCATGCCTGCAATCCTATCTACTTAGGATTGGGACCTGAGGATCAAGGGTCAAATGAAGTCAGTCCAGGCAAGAACGTCCATGAGGCTCTTACCTCCTATTGGCCACTCAAAAGCCACCAGAAGTGGAGCTGTGGCTCAAGTGGTAAAGCACCAGCCTTGACTGAAAAAAGCCGGAAGAGCATCCAGGCCCTGAGTTCGAGCCCCAGCACGGTCACCAGAAAAAAAGGAGAGGAGAGAGGGGAGAAGGGAGAGAGGGGAGCGTGTCAGGAGGCGGCGGGAGGGGAAGGGCGGCACTCGCGGTGCTGGAGTGGAGGATCCAGCCCCGTTCCCGGGCCCCGTGG